AATACCAACAAACGCCGGCTGTCGAAGCACAAGGAGAACGAAAAAACTACAAGGGACAGCCCTATGGGGTTGTACGCAATGGTGACGTAGGTCTACGTGGTATTATATAATCAAGCTTATTCGTTAACTGCAGCGGGAGCTTGCATTTTGTGTAGGAATAGGAATTTGAGCGGAGTTCTCCGCGACCCCCAATGTTGCCTTAAAGTACATGGCTTGTTAGATTTAAACATATCTAGATAGAGCTGGAATTAGGCGTAACAGCTTTTGCAAACAATGACTTCTCTCGATGATGTTTAGGAATTCTAAGAGATGAACTAGCCTATGGCTAAAAATCTCTATAATAAAGTATTAAAAAAAAAAAAAAGTTTAGGAATTCAAGGCATGTCCACGCCAACTAACATTACCAACGGGTAGAGGAAGTCTTACCCTACACAATAGTGATGTTGATTTGCATGAGCAAGCCTTAAATTTCAAGGGCTGTTACGCCCTAATTCCAGCTCTATCTGGATATGAGAACTGACATACGATTTATGACCTTGACAAATGTCCAAAAATACTCGTTTACAAATTTATGGTGGTCCTGAAAAGGACCGTTTTGTCGTTATGGTTTAGTAATGCTGAGCTATTAGGGTGTTAAACACAGATGAGGCTGGTGAGCTGTATGTTGTTTGGAATGAGCGTGACGCGCTTGGCATAGATGACCCACAGTGACTCACGAAGAGCTACTGATTCCGATCAATAGCGGTGCGGCTTCTTCCTCCTTCTATGTATGCTCATGTGGGCTGCAGCTCACTGCTTCCAGGCAGCCTTTCGTTGTGCTGGAGAACAATGATCAACACCACGCGCCGATAACACTGCTGCTGCTGATGTCGACGACAGGACACCACCACACACGGTGATTGGAACTGAATCCGATCAGCGATTAAAGCCAGCTTTGGTAGCTAGCTGCTTGCGGAGAGTCTTTCGTTGTGTACTGGAGAACACCGCCACTCACTACGTGGTGAGACCGTATGGAATTCAACTTTGAAATCTGTGTTAGGGAAATCGCCTTTTGCAGGCAAACGGTAATAATTTTAAGTATCAAAGTAACAGTTGCACATTCTTGCAATTTTCAATAGTAACATTTTGAAAAATGATAAAGTCTTAAATTTATCAGATGCGTAGAAATATTTCTAATCGATTAATGATAAAATTATTGAAATTGGTCCAGGGGCAGCTGAGTTATTAACGTTCAAAATCTTTTATAATTTGTTACATATTCCATTTTCGGTTTTCACAAAGTGTACCCCCATATAGAAATTACAGACGTAGTCCTACGTCAAAAAAGAAATTTCGTGCTGATCAGTGCACCCAGAAGACTGGTCAGCAAACAGATCGTTTAGGATCTGAACCACTCGCGCATGTCGGACATAACGATTTACTACCAGAACGTTGGCGGTATTAACGGCCTCGAGGAAGATTATCATTTGGCAGTCATGGATCACTGTTACGACATTTTAGTTTTGACCGAAACATGGTTCAATTATCGAACCATTTCAAACTATGTCTTTGGTGCTGGCTACAACCGCACCCTGGATCTCTGCTTTGTGAGTGCTCATCATACTCCAAACGCTGTGTCATATGACTTCCGTACAGCTGACCATCGCAGTTTTGTCCTTGTGCTGTCTAACTTAGACTGGGAGCATATTTTAGATCCTATAGACGTCAACATTGCTGCACAAACCTTTTCTCACGTCTTGGCATATGTCATTGACAGACACGTTTCCAAAAAGATCATCCATATCGACTCTCGCGTCCCGTGGATGACGAAAGATCTTCGCTCATTGAAAAGAACTAAGAAGGCTGCCCTCAGAAGATTTACTAAACTCCGCACACTGCCGCTGAAATGCTGCTATGTCAGACTCAACCCCACGAGTATAAGCGGTTAAGTCGTCTCTGTTTTCAACGCTATCAAAGGAGGATTCAACGGTGGCTAAAATCACACCCGAAATCCTTCTGGAACATCGTAAATGAGCAACGTAGGGAAGTCGGCTTACCCTCTTCCATGATTTTTAATGGTGAAACTGCTGGCAACCAACAAGGCTTTTGCAACCTGTTCTCAGCCAAATTTGCTAGTGTGTTTGAAGACGAGTAACTCTCCGCTAATCTCATTACTTCCGCGGCCAGTAATGTTCAGCATGGTCGAAGCCACTACAGCTTCAATTTCTAGAGCAGCATCTAAACTTAAGACTTCAGGTAAGGCTGGACCCGATGGTGTTCCGTCGAATATTCTTAAAAAGAACATCACTTGTCTTTTAGATCCACTGTGCCGCATATTCAAGCTCTCTCTTTCCAGCGGCATCTTTCCGTCTTGCTGGAAGACTGCGGATATGTTTCCTGTTCATAAAAAGGGAAGCAAACGCGACGTAAACAACAACCGGGGAATCACGTCGCTGAGTGCTGTATCAAAACTTTTTGAATTGGTTGTCATAGAGTCCCTAAATGCGCATTGCAAGCAATATCTAAGTATAGATCAACACGGATTCATAACTGGGCGTTCCACACCTGCTGTGCCTAACGTCTTACATCACAGACAGTTTGATTGCTCGGACCCAAACGGACGTTATCCACACAGATCTTACGGCAGCCTTCGATAAGCTGAACCACGGAATTGCGATCGCTAAGCTTGATAGGCTAGGGATCGGTGGAAATCTTTTGAGATGGTTTCGTTCATACATCACGGAGTGCCAATTGACTGTAACTTTGGGTACTTGTCGCTCAGCAAGCTTCTGCCCAGCTAAGTGTACAGTTATTACTTTCTCACGCAAGAAACAACCGATTATTTTCAACTACAAAATACTAGGCACGACTATCGAACGGGTGCATTGCGCGAAAGACTTAGGCGTTTTTCTAGACTCAAAGCTGACATACTCACACCATATATTGTATGTCGTCGACAAAGCGTCCAGAACTCTTGGCTTTGTCTTCAAGATTACTAAGAACTTCACAGACATTTACTGCTTGAAATCGCTTTATTGTTGGAATACTGCTACGATCTACGGTGGAATACTGCTCTGCAGTCTGGAGCCCGAACTACAATAATGGGGCCGAGTGAATTGAATCTGTGCAACGACGTTTTCTTCGCTTCGCGCTCCGTAAGCTGCCTTGGAGATACCCACTTCGTCTTCCAAGCTACGAGAATCGCTGCCAATTGATCAATATCGAGCCCTTACGTATCCGAAGAGATGTTTTCAGAGCCTTAACCGTCGCCGATACTCTGCAAGGAAGAATCGACTGCGAAGCAATTCTGCAACAAGTCAACATTAATGTTCAACCTCGATCACTACGCAACAGTCTTATGCTGAGACTTCCACTTCTTCGAACTAATTATAGCTTAAGGAGCGCTATTTACGGCTCGCAGCGAGTGTTCAACCGAGTAATTTCGATGTTTGATTTCCACTTGACACGGAATATGCTTCGCCGAAGATTCTCTGCCTTTTTTGCTGACCGAAGGCGCTTGACGCCCAATAGCTAAGCGTAAAATTTAAGACTTATACATTTTTAGTAACTTGACATTGCTTTCCTAGTTGTTTTCGTTTGTAACTTTAGTACATATATGTAGTCTGTATAATCTGTACTTTTTTTTACAACACATCATTGGGACTATTTCTAGTCTGTTGATGCAAACATATCAAATAAACAAATAAACAAACCATTAACTTTTGGTTAAAATTTGACAGATGGAAAGTTATCGACTAACCCTGCTATCCGAGCATGGTTATTTCTGACAGACAAGAAGTTACATTTTGACAACCGTGGCTGAGTTCTGCCCGAAAACCGATCGATCGGTAACACAGGGATTTTCGAACATAAGAAATAACTTTCGAAATGTCACTTTTAACCACGAGTTAAATTTAACTCGGCAAATGGTTCACAGCCTTAGATGAAAATAATGCAACTTATCAAATAGGGGATAATACAAGGGGTAGGTCACTCCGCACACCAATCTTGGGTCAACATTTTTCTCAGTGTGCCGCAAGTGTACCGCTGGTTTGTCGATTGTGCCGACAGTGCTGGGCATGGATCAAGCTGTGATTTTTCAAAAAATAGTATACATGGCAACCCAGTATTTGAGAATTGAGATTTAGATGTGTCGTCCCCCTCGGAATTTTTATTGCTTCCATTCAACCTAATTAAGTTTTATTTTTATTACAAAAATCGAAAACCATTTATTTCATCTCGTATAAGATGACACGTATCCGAAAATAAAACTACTCTTTTACTTAATTCAAACTTAAACCGAAATCTCACTTCAAATTTACATACGTCGCATCGGTGGTAAGGCCACAGTTGTTACCCTTCACCGCCATCAAAACATATCCATCGTTGCCCCAGTAGTTGGACCAGGAGTTCTTGATTAGCCAGGAATCTTCTCCTTTGAGTTTTCCGTTTCCAATCGCACCCATTGCATGATTCAATCCATCCAAATTCCTCTTGCATTCCGGTTCGTAGACTTGTGACCGGCATCGAAAGCAATTGACAGCCCTTGGAAGCCTACATTTCAAATTTAAATGTGAACCGAGAAGTGAATTGCTGGTCTGAGCTCCTCTAGAATATTCAATTGTAGTAGGTATGTTTCTGAAATACACAGTCAAACAGCACGTAATGTTGTGAACAACTTCAATGACAACAGTCCAGCAATGCTCCCATTTTATTTAATGAACAATGCAATGCCTACGAGATTGTGCCGATGGATGTGCCCAAGTTGTGCCGAATCTACTTTCGGCACACTGTGCAGAGTGACTAGGCAAGGAGGCCTTATAAATAAACGCAATAAAAAAAGAGTCACATCAGGCCTCCTCCCCTCCACTCTCAGGTTGACAGTCTGCGTAGAGAGCGGAAGTAACCATAGGGAAAACTCGGCACTATGTCACTTAAAAATGAACATCAGTTTTGAACAAATGTTAACATCTAAAATTCCACGCCAATAATCGTGGCGTATTACTTTTCACCCCTTCCAGTGTTCGTCGGTAACATTCCCCGGGACACGCAGGCCGAAGACGTAATCGACTATTTCAACAACTTTGGCAGCGTTATCGACTATACTCCAATCGAGAAGAAGAGCTGCTACCTGCGCAAGTCGGCCATCCTGGCCTTCATGAATTCGAAGCACGCCCAGAATGCGTACTGCCAGCAGCCGCACTTCCTCGAGGGCAGCACGCTGGATGTGCACCTAATGGATACCCCCCCGATGCAGTTTCAGGATGCACACAGCAAGGTGCTCACCGTCAAGTTCCACAGTCCATGTAAGCGAACCGGACTCTGTTCCATTTCTAGAATAACACTCTCACCGTGTTGTTTTTGTTTTTCAGTTTTAACAAACGATGAAATCCGTTATGCTCTACATAAGCTGGTCGGCATATTCTATCACATCCGGTTCGACGCGTTCGACGATCGGGCCAACTTTGTGGTAAACTACAAACTTACGAAGCGCTTGGAGGGCTCGATAGATTCACTTTTCGATATGCAATACATTAACGACGAAGCGGTCAAGATCGTCCGTAAGTATTACGCCTTAGTTAAACGCTAGTTTCGACGCTTACATCGGTTCTGTGTCATATTCCAGAGGGTTTTGATCTAACTCCTCCGAAGGAAGATGAAGCACGAGAGAAAAAGAATATCTCCAACTCACCGTATCGACAACAGAAGGAAAAATATCTGAGCTTTGCCGTCTATAAGGAAAATCTCAAGGATGACATGGAAGTGCGTTCGAGGCCGATCAAGGAGGCGGACATTCCCTTCAAGTCGTTCTACAACGATAATTCAGGTAGGTCGTCCCGGTAAATTTTGCCTAGCCTCACCCAGCATCGTCGAGTCTCGCAATTTCAGTACAAATCAACAACGTCTCGGTGGACACCAGCTTGGAGGATATTCGGGATCTGTTCATCAAATGTGGCGACATCGTCGACTATCGGGTCTTGCTGCTCGAAGAGGATGCCAGTAAAATTTGCTACGTCAAGTTCAAGATAGATCTAGCCGCCGATTTGGCCTGTACGTACAGCCAGCGGATGGTTAACGGGAAACGGATTCTGGTGCACCTTGCGAAGGAGACCCTACATGCGGAGCGTGATCGGTCAGTCCTGGTAGAACGGCTGAGCCCATCAACTACCGCCGAGCAACTCCACGCGGCATTCACCCCAATCGGTATGGTCAAGTACGTCCAGAAGCAGTCTCCATTCTCGGCAATTGTGTGCTTCAAGGATACGGACTGCATGCTGGAGGCAGTTAACGTGACGGCAATTCCCAACTCCGGATCGTTTATCATCAATCCCTGCTACGAAGGTAAAGAGCCAAGGTACTAAACACTCAATTCTAAGAGATAACCATATACATACTTTTTGCAGAGTACGATCCCCGTCTCTTCAATAACTTCTCCTGCCAGGAAGAGTTCATTCCGATCGAGCGGATGCGAGCAGCGCTCAAACCCCGGATCCTGCCGGAATTCCACCAGCTGGAACTGGATCGGCAAGTGTTCGAAACCCTGCCCGATGACATCAAGACCCGACTGATCAATGAAGTATTCCTCGCCCGGCAGCAGCTATCCAACTTCAACATACTCTCCAAGGACCAACAGATCAACACTCTGAAAACGAATTATCCGGATTTCACCCAGAAGGAACACTTCCTCCGATTGACCACCCGCGAGCAGGAAAAGCTCTTGGACGTGACCAGTAATCTGCAGCAGGACTATCCCTACGAAGAAGTGAAAGACCTACAGGTGCTTCCACCAGCGCCCAAGCAGACTCGAAATGAAGAGCCCATCAACAAGAAGCCGGACAAAGTATTCGCTGCCAATTGGTATTCCAGTCCCTCGGAACAGGCCGAACAAATTCCCGATCCGTATCCATCCGATGTGCGACCACTGCACAAAATTAAACCGCTGGTGACGGCCATGCATGCCAGTCACGTTGCACAAACGGTGCAGAAAATTCAACCGCTGGTGAATGCTATGAATGCAAGCCATGTTGCACAAACGCTTCCGACGTCTGGTTTGCTCGGATTCCCCGGAAACAATGGGCCACCACGTCAGATGGGTCCTCAGTCGGGCAATATGTTCCCACAGGGAGGAGGTCCACGGTTTCCGAATATGTATCCTCAGCCGGTTCCACCACAATTTGCCGGAGGGATGCCACCATTCGGTGGCCCCAATCAGCAGCCAATGATGATGGGTGGAATGTCGAATATGGGTGGAATGCCGAACATGGGTGGAATGCCGAACATGGGTGGAATGCCGAACATGGGTGGAATGCCACCGGTAGGAGGTGGACCACCGGACAATCGCTGGATGCAACAGCGGATGGCGGCTATGGCGTACAATGTCGGTCCTGGTACGCGAGGGCCGATGGACTTCGGTGGGATCAATAGGCCACCTTATTTCAATTAAGATTAATACCTAAATCAGTTTTTATATATATTATCTGAGAGAATAATGCGTGTCAAGAATATAAGTTTCCGTGAACTTGTCATCGAGGCGGTTTGAATGTTCGAAATTCTTAATTCCCAGTAATAACAGTTAACTGAAATGTATTTTCGGTCAACTTACGCTTTTATTCATATTTTAGTTCAGCAAATAATATTCTCAAAGGTGACCTGCAGAAACTTACCCGTCATAGGTCCAAATTCTTCATTATTGGTGATTTTAATGCAAACCACCGCTCATGGAGTAATGCTCAAAGCTATTCCAATGGTAATATTCTGTTTGATGATTGTTCTGCAGTAGTGTTTCTAAATGCTTCAATCCTGGGGTTTCAAACGCTACCCGCTGGAATGGTAGTTTGGGTGATCAGGGGGGAGAAAAGGTACCACTCGAACAAGGTGATGCTGGTAATACACAATGTAAACTGTTGCCCAGCTGGTGATGCTGGTAATGCAAACTGTTAGTAGAGGAGAAGAATGCAGCACGGGCGAGAATGCTGCAACACCGCACGAGATTGAATGTGGAGCGATACAGACAAGCGCGGAACAGACAAAACTCGGTTTTCCGAAGGAAGAAGCGTCAGCAGGAAGGAAGGCCGAGATCGCGAGGCGATGGAAAATCTGTACCGCGTAAACGACACACGGAAGTTCTACGAGAAGCTAAATAGTTCGCGCAAAGGCTACGTGCCGCAAGCCGATATGCGCAAGGACTTGGACGGTAACCTTCTCACGAACGAGTGTGAGGTGATTGAGAGGTGGAAGCAGTACTATGACGAGCACCTCAACGGTGAAGCAGCAGAAAACGAAGGTGGCACGGCAACAGACCTAGGAGCACGCGCAGAAGACGACAGCCTACCGGCCCCTGATCTTCAAGAAATTGAGGAGGAGATCGGTCGGCTGAAGAACAACAAAGCAACTGGTGTAGATCAACTACCAAGTGAGCTATTAAAATACGGTGGTGAAGCACTGGCTAGAGCGCTGCACTGGGTAATTGCCAAGATTTGGGAGGAGGAGATATTACCAGCGGAGTCGATGGAAGGTGTCATATGCCCAATCTACAAAAAGGGTGACAAGTTGGATTGCTGCAACTACCGCGCGATCACACTGCTGAGCGCCGCCTACAAGGTAATCTCCCAAATTCTATGCCGCCGCCTGTCACCATTTGCAAGAGAGTTCGTGGGGCAATACCAGGTGGGAGACATGCGTGCCCGCGCTACCACGGACCAAATTTCCGCGATTCGGCAGGTTCTGCAGAAATGCCGCGAATACAACGTGCCCACACATCATTTGTTCATCGATTTCTAATCCGCATACGACACAATCGATCGAGATCAGCTATGGCAGATTATGCACGAGTACGGATTTCCGGATAAACTGACGCGATTGGTCAAGGCGACGATGGATCGAGTGATGTGCGTTGTTCGAGTATCGGGGACACTCTCGAGTCCCTTTGAATCTCGAAGGGGGTTACGGCAAGGTGATGGATTTTCGTGTCTGCTGTTCAACATCGCGTTAGAAGGTGTGATCGGAAGACCTGGGATAGACACGAGTGGTACGATCTTCAGGAAGTCCATCCAGCTTATTGGCTTCGCCGATGACATTGACATCATGGCACGGAACTTTGAGACGATGGCGGAAATGTACATCAGACTAAAGGCTGAAGCTAGGCGGATTGGACTTGCCATCAACACATCAAAGACAAAATACATTAAAGGAAGAGGTTCTAGGGAAGACAGTGTTAGCCTCCCACCCCGAGTTCAGATTGACGGTGACGAAATCGAGGTGGTCGATGAGTTCGTGTATTTGGGCTCACTGGTGACCGCCGAAAATGATACCAGCAGAGAAATTCAAAGGCGCATTATGGCAGGGAACTATCAGCACTATTGCTGTGGATTACCATTACTTACCTTATCAGTCAGGCTAAGGCCTTGTTGTCCTCTGCTGTCCGAAGAAGTCGTCTCTACTCTACTCGACCCATGGCCACACTTCGCCAGCCTCGTAGTCTGCGAAGGGTCCGCAGGTCGCCTTCTACTTGGTCGATCCCCCTTGCCCGCTGTGCGCCTCTTCTTCTTAGTACTGTTGGGTCGCTTTCTAGAACCATTTTCACTGGGTCGTCGTGCGGCATTCTTACGACGTGCCCAACCCATCATAGTCGCCTAATTTTTGCAATGTGGACGATGGATGGTTCTCCCAGCAGCTGGTGCAATTCGTGGTTCATTCGCCTCCTCCACGTTCCGTCATCCATCTGCACTCCACCGTAGATGGTACGCAACACCTTCCGTTCGAAAACACCACGAGCGCGTTGGTCCTCCACGAGCATAGTCCAGGTCTCGTGGTCGTAGAGGACCACCGGTCTAATCAGCGTCTTGTAGACAGTCAACTTCGTGCAACAACAAATATAATCAAGGCGAATGGCCCGAAGACTACGACTACGTGAGTTTAGAATCGAAGGAAGCCTCGGCCAAATCCAACGCCGAAATTCACGACTCACTGCCGCAGGATTTGAAGAAGAACTGTGAGAACGTGGTGCGGATGCGACAGCAGCCGCCGGCCGCGATAAAACGGAGGACCTGAACCCGAACGACAAATCCGTACTGGTTTACTATGCCACGCACACGATGACGCACATGGAATACCTAACGCAAGCGATCGACGCACAATCAGCCGCCGAAGTTTTTCCTCGCCTACGGAAAGTTCGTTGTGCTGAGTGCCCACAATTTGGTCAACATCGGGAACGTTGTGCATCGGAACGCGTCGCGGGAGAACGTTAAAACGCGGATGCTGCAGTGGGTAGATTCCCTGTCCGAAGCGCTCAAAACGTGCGTGGTTAAGACGAAGAAAGCGGCCCAGCACTTCTCCAGTGTGACGGCCGTCCAGGAGATGGTCGATTCAGTGGTGGACATTTCGCATCTGGCTAAAGATTTAAAGATCGCCATGCTGAACGCGGTGCAGCAGTAAGCAACCAATTCCTAGGGTTCGATTTTCTAAAGCGATATCTAGTGATCTCAAATTTGAGCATCCTTTTGTGCTTTGCTTTCTGATAGTTGGATTGATTTGCGATCAGGGGAACGGTTATACTGCCCATAACCGCATATCAGTCTCATATAGATAGGAAAGCAAGCAAAGATGACACTGATATGCGATTATGGGTAGTATAGCTCGTATATCGCGGGAGATTATTCAGTATTTTCTCATTTAACCTAAAACAAATACAGCATTCCCTCCATGTATGCGGTAGGTGGTGCCGTCCACCAACCGCTATTTCTCGGTTGTCCTTCAGCCGGTTACGTTGATTTTTTGTATGTGATTAGTGTCAACCATAAACTAGTTATCTACAGGAAATCAGCTCAGTTGGTTGAAGGACAGCCGGTGGCGGTTGAAGGAATGCTGTACTTAACCGACTACCGACCGTAAAAGATCATTTATGAACAACATTGACTACCTTTTTTTTTACAAAATCTACATTTGCCAGCAACACTGACTGGGTGTATCCTATGGCTTAACTTTCCTACTAACATAATTCCTAAATTCTCGAGACATTTATGAGGGGTCGTAGAGTTCTCTGCATCTCTCTTAAGTATATGTTGGACTAACATACCTTTCATATCCCTACCAGTTGCAAGGACGTGGCCATGACAATCCTTAGCTGTTGGAGAGGGATATGTCTTTATCTGGGACATAGTAATTATTTCCTACTTACTATCTGTCCAGTAATAGATATTCGTCTTGCTCTTAATAGTTTTGAATTCGTACCACCTACGATATTGTGCAACTTGTTCGATGCTAATGCTAATCAGCTGATTATTGGCTCACCAGATAGTTCGTCAGAAAATTCATAAAAACCTGTAAATTTGATCAAAGTAGACCTTGATTTGTTCTTGTGAAGAAGTAGGCTTTAAAAAGCTGTCAAGCGCTCAGAAAGCAAGAAGGAAGGAATATCCATGCGAGCTCATTTCAATACGTTCGATGACCTTGTCTGGCAACTGAACTCCGCTGGAGCTAAAATGGACGAAGGTGATTTGGTAGGGCAATTATTCTTAACTTTACCCGATAGTTACGATCCCTTGGTAAAGGCAACCGAGAATCTGGCGGAGAAGGACCTGAAGAAAGTAAACGAGAGAGGACAACGGTGCGGCGTTTATCGGAGCTAAAAGAAAGAACCAGAAGAAGCTTGCTGGCAAGTGCCATCGCTGTGGAAAACCTGGACACATGAAAAAGGACCGTCGTGTGAAGAAACCGGAAGGTAACGCTAATGCAGCTGTTGGCAGTAAGGCAGTCGCGTTCATGGCAAACGGTGACCAGAGGAAGCCTGAAACTGGGAAGATCCACTTCTGCGTAGACCCGAGGAGCAACGATCACCTTGTAAATTATGCAAGCCATCTACGGTCCGCTATTGCCGGATCTACGAAAAAAAAACCGGCTCTTGCTCAAGAAGCTCTCGCATGCTGAATCACCGTGTTATTCACAAGTCATGAAGGTCAAGATCATGCGGGATTCCAGAAGGAAGGAGAACTGATCGGCGTAGCGTATCTGCGTGGAAATGTGAACCAACTGGAATTGGATGTCGATACTATGGGACAGGCCAATATAAGCGTGACCGAGACAAGCCAATTGTGACATTGTCGCTTGAACAATCTTGTGAAGCACGAAATGGTTTTGTGGAGAAGCAATTCAATTGGTTTTTGCGATAAATGTGTGATGTCTAAGCAGTGTCGGGAACCATTTGACGGTGTCAGAGAACGTGCCACACGTCCGTTGGAGCGAGTTCATTCGGATGTGTGGGGTCCCATTGATCCGCCGGCATGGGATGGATCGCGTTACTTCGTGTCGTTCATCGACGACTGGACGCATTTTGTCGTAATCTACCCAATCAAGCGCAAATCAGAGTTGTTCCGTTGTTTCAGAGAGTATGAAGCTATGGTTACAACTCAATGGCAGACAACAATCTGTAAGCTCACCGTGGATCAAGGCTGAGAATTCTTCTCGAATGAACAACGCAACTACTACAGAAACGAGGCATTCAAGTTCAACCAACGGTAGCTTATTCCCCTCAACAAAACGGGGTAGCTGGACGTTTCAACCGGACTCTGGTTGAAAAGGTATGATTTTTTTTTTTTTTTTTTTTTTTTTTTTTTTTTAACTCTTTATTTGTTCCAATTTCAAAATAAATTACATTTCATTTTAACCTAGGTGCTCCAGTTACTGCAGTAACGTACCAGCCTTAATTGTTATGATATATATCTAAGTGTTTTTACATTGTTCATGTCTTGGCAATTCAGTATTTTAAACAGGTTTTTTAACCTGCATGTCAGTATAACAATTGATATCTTAAAACTAAAAACTAAAACTAAATCTTATCTAAGTATAAAGGGAATTAATCGTTGCAATTGAGGATTGCAACGATTTTTGCCTGAAATTATTAATTATTTTGTTGGACATTTGTGCTAAAGTCTCAACATTCGAAATTCTATGTACTTCGGTTGTACTGTACCAGGGAGGCAACTTCAAAATCATTTTCAGAATTTTGTTCTGAATCCTTTGAAGTGCTTTTTTCCTGGTAGTGCAGCAACTAGACCATATTGGCACAGCGTAAAGCATGGCCGATCTAAAAACTTGTTTAAATATTAGAAGTTTATTCGTCAGGCAAAGTTTGGATTTCCTGTTTATAAGAGGATACAAACATTTTATATATTTGTTACATTTGGCTTGAATGCCCTCAATGTGATCTTTAAAAGTTAATTTTTGGTCAAGTATTAATCCAAGATATTTCACTTGGTTTGACCAGGAAATTGGAACTCCGTTCATAGTGACTATGTGACTACTACTAGGTTTCAAAAACGAAGCTCTAGGCTTATGTGGAAATATTATAAGTTGAGTTTTGGAAGCGTTGGGAGAAATCTTCCATTTTTGTAAATAAGAAGAGAAAATATCTAAACTTTTCTGCAGTCTGCTGCAAATAACACGAAGACTTCTTCCTTTAGCGGAAATGCCTGTGTCATCAGCGAACAAAGATTTGTGGCAACCCTGAGGCAAATCAGGGAGGTCCGAAGTGAAAATGTTATACAATATAGGCCCAAGAATGCTACCCTGAGGAACTCCTGCTCTAACAGGTAGTCGATTAGATTTGGAATTTTGATAATTTACCTGCAGAGTTCTGTCAGTTAAATAATTTTGAACTAATTTCATAATATAAAGTGGAAAATTAAACTTTTTCAATTTAGCAATCAAACCTTCATGCCAAACACTGTCGAATGCTTTTTCTATGTCTAGAAGAGCAACTCCAGTTGAGTGGCCTTCAGATTTGTTTGAACGAATTAAATTGTTAACTCTTAAGAGTTGATGAGTAGTTGAATGCCCATGGCGAAATCCAAACTGCTCATCTGCAAAAATTGAGTTCGTATTGATGTGAAGCATCATTCTATTCAAAATTATTTTTTCAAAAAGTTTACTTATTGAAGAAAGCAAACTTATTGGACGGTAGCTAGAAGCTTCAGCTGGATTTTTATCCGGCTTCAAAATTGGAACAACTTTTGCATTTTTCCATTTATCAGGAAAGTATGCCAAATGGAAACATCTGTTAAATAATTTTACCAAGAAAGACAAGGTACTCTCTGGGAGTTTTTTGATGAGGATATAGAAAATTCCATCATCACCTGGAGCTTTCATATTTTGAAATTTTTTAGTTATAGACCTTACTTCGTCCAAATCAGTCCCCCAGGAATCATCAAAAATATTTTCCCGAGAGAAAATATTCTGAAAATCCCGAGCAACCTGATTCTCAATAGGACTAGTAAGACCCAAACTGAAATTATGGGAACTCTCGAATTGCTTAGCAAGTTTCTGAGCTTTTTCCAAATTTGTGATCAAAATTTTACCACCTTCTTTAAGCGCTGGAATAGGCTTTTGAGGTTTTTTCAAAATTTTTGTGAGTTTCCAAAAGGGTTTGGAACTCGGGTCTAATTTAGAAATATTATTTTCAAAAGTTTTGTTCCTCAGGGCAGAGAATCGCTTTTTAATTTGTTTTTGCAAATCCCGCCAGATAACCTTCATGGCAGGATCGCGTGTTCTTTGATATTGTCTCCTACGGACATTTTTAAGACGGATCAAGAGCTGAAGATCATCGTCTATTATAATTGAATCCAATTTAACCTCGCATTTTGGTACTGAGGCAGCTCTTGCTTCAACTATAGAAGTAGTCAGAGATTCAAGAGCATAATTAATTTCATCTTTGGTTTGCAAAGGAATGTTTGGATCGAAGTTATATTCCATAAATGTTCGATACTGCTCCCAATCAGCTCTATGGTAATTGAAAGTAGAGCTGTTGGGATTACAAATTATTTCTTGGGATATTTCAAAAGTTACTGGAAGGTGATCAGAACCGAAGTCAGCATGGGTAACCAATTGGCTACAAAGTTGACATGAATCAGTTAAGACCAAATCAATAGTGGAGGGATTTCTTGCAGAAGAAAAGCATGTTGGGCTGTTTGGATATTGAATAGTGTAATAACCTGCAGAACAATCATCAAACAGAATATTACCATTGGAATTGCTTTGAGCATTATTCCATGAGCGGTGTTTTGCATTAAAATCACCAATAATGAAGAATTTAGACCTATGACGGGTAAGTTTCTGGAGGTCACCCTTGAGAAAATTCTTTTGCTGGCCTACGCATTGGAATGGCAAATAGGCAGCTATAAACGTAAGTTGTCCAAATTTTGTTTCAACAGAAACTCCCAAAGTTTCAAAAACTTTGGTTTCAAATGAAGAAAGAATTTTATGTTTGATTCGCCTATGAATAATGATGGCAACGCCACCACAGGGTCCATCAAGACGATCATTTCTATAAATCAAGTAATTTGCGTCCTTCTTAACCTTATGGTCAGGTTTAAGGAACGTTTCAGTTATAACGGCAATATGCACGTTATGAACTCGCAAAAAGTTAAATAGCTCGTCTTCAT